AAACTTTCACAACTGATTGTAGTCGATGTTGAGATGCAATCATTAAAATTGGGAAATATATTTAAGCTATTCTAATACGTTTAATTGCTACTTTTACAATATATGATGCTTAAAATTATTGTTATTTTATAACTGTAATGTTTATTATCCAAATTTAATAACACAGCAATATTTATTTTGATGTAAAAAGAAGTTCGATTCGCGAAAGAAAGAAATTTTATTTTCCAATCAGATCATTAATCCGATAAGGTTACGCGTGCGTCATTGAGGATCAATATTGCGTGGCAAGGGGAGAAATGCGAACAAGAGAGAGAAAGAGGCGAAAATAGGAATTTCGAACAGAATGACAAAATCTCTCTCGATATAGAGAAATATCCCAGTGCGCGCGGGCGTTAAATGGTCAATGACTGTCCGCCGCGCCGCGCCGGCTGGGAAATCCCAGTTTTTCGACGCAACGCGGTAGTCTCTCGCGTAGAATGATTTGGCCACTTGTTGAATCCGAAACAGGGAGTGGTTGTCGGTGGTAAAATGGTTTGGGAACACAGGCCGGGGAAGAGGACGCCTGTGGGCCTCACTTGTTGCAATCATCAAACGGAACAGTCATCGAACAGGTTGTTGTTCCACTGGTTAACCGGCCAGCGGTACACATATCCGTTATGCGATACGACCAACGACAATTCGTTTTCATGAAAATTCTCGCCCAGTTTCATGGCCAACACGTCCGACAACAATTGGGGGAGTATTGATATAAAATTTTTGCCTCTTTCAGTTTTTCATCACGCTAATGCTTAACGTTTGAATTGTCATTTCCTACTTCCACAAGGAATAATGGTTTCAGAGAACTAACACAAAAAGTAGTTGAAACAAGAATATAACAGAAATTGTTTCAAGTAGTTTACGATATTCAACATTTACATTTGCTTCTACTCTCCTCTAAAATAGGTACTTTTCTAACCACTGAATAATTGCAGATGATTTAACAAATTATGAAGCGAAATCGAATATTACTTTGCACAGATTTTTATGTAGATAAAGCTACATTTTTCGTATTCAACGATTAAACCCGTATTTAAGGACCAAAAGTTCAGGATGTAGGGTCATGACATTTCACCGTATGACGCAAGCAAAAGCTTATAAATACGATTATATAAATTTAAATAGTAAATTCTCAATTTAGAAGGGCAGAAGTCGACGGAGTAACCATTTGCGGTTATTTCTGCGAGTGGTTAAAATTATTCGTTTTATCGAGGATGTATTTTTTCTTCATAGTAGACATAATCATTATTAAATTATACCGAACTTTTATAGCTATCAATGTAAGGAGTTATTACATTAGATATTTTTACATAGAAAGTCTAAAACGCACGTGTATGCTAAAACTGCCAACAAAGCTTCAAAAATATCTCCACACAAATCTGCTACAAAAGTATAGATTAGTTCCATTTTAATTTCACCAACTGATTAACAGTGACGATATTTGTTTTACGCAGTACGTGATATTCAATGCATACTGATCACGCGTCACATGTGAATTCTTTTTTTCTACCTCCCTATTATCCTTTCTTAATTACTTTCCACATATTTCCTCTACTTTTTGGAGCAACCTTTTATGCGACTATCAGATTCCTTTGAATTTAAACGTAATCACAGACACACACAAAGCTCGCGAATACCTTGAGCATAAGATGAGCGCAGGCATCGATGATGCTTTGCCTTGTTAACTGAAAAAAGAGAGGAAATGGGAAGTCGCGAATGATGAAAATCAATTTTTCAATAATTTTCTTTGCCCGACCATAAGCCGTCCAATCATCCGTTCCTCTGCCGCCACAGTGAAACTGTTATTAACGAGCGAAGACAAAAGTCTTCCCTTCCTCTCTCGGGGCGCCTCGACAAGAGCACGCTTTTGCACCGTCTCTATGTATACCACCGGGCCTTTGTATTCATTGTCTGCCCGATTCCCCTTTCACACTAGCGAAATCAATGAAGAAGCACGCGTGAGCGCAACGCCGTAGATGTGTATATACCTGCGCGCCTACGTGTGTGGATCGAAAAACCGGCTGGTTCACTTTGTTGCCGAGAGATAATGGTTGTGCGAATCGTAAATAAGGTAATAGGTCTTCAGAGGGCCGAGGGATAGACCAAAGATCGGATGACGTAAGCGAAAAGACCCTTAAGGGCGCATTCACAATTTTCAAGAGTTCAGTGGATAAATATTATAGAAAAACCGATAACTTCATTATTTCTAAAAGAATTTCTTCTAATCATGTTGCACCACTTTCCTTGAAAAACGACACACATAATTCGAAATAAAATATCGTAGAACACCTCCGATGAAGGAGTAAAATAAAAACGTCGATTGGTCTACACAAATACTCACAAACATGTTTGATCACTGTTTTTTCTATTGTATTATTTTATTCGCGCGAATTCACTTTTCAGTTCTTTTATATCATACGCCGTGAAAATACGTCTAATTGGATGAGGCAATTGCTGTGAGGAATAAATAATATTCAAATCGCGTTTCGGGTTAAAAGACAGAGGTGACACACATAAGGTACACTGATATATAATGAACATTGAGGAATAAGCATAACTGTTTTACACATAGTAGCTACAGTAACGTCGTTCGTATGGCATGAATGTCACGAATACGTGTGATAGATCGATCATTCACGTAGGATAGTTACAATTGAAGTTCAGGCATAGTGTATTAGTATACGAGCTTTCTTCGATTAAATCTAGTTTACAATACGTGAGAGAGAAATTAATTCATGATCCTAAAATATGTTAATAAGAAAAAGAGAAGGAAAAAAACGACATAACGCATAAGCTGCTGGCCAAACAAAATGATATCATTTTCTAAATCTGCGCTCTACTGTATTAGTCGGGGCAAAATTATTGGAAATGAAGGAAAGAGTTTAACAGTTTATAAAAACGAAAGGAAAGTAAAATGCAAGAAGTAGAGAAGCCAGACGTAATTCCTTTTTACGTACCGTATGCGTATGAATGAAATGATGTATTTATACCGTCAAGAAG